CTTGGAGATAAGCCGGAGAAAAGCGTCCAGACTGGCGCGATCCTCCAGAATAAAGCCCTATTCCGGAGGATCTCTTATTCCTACTTGCAAGAGATCCTCTGGAATAGGGCTTTATTCCGGAGGATCGCACAAGTCTAGACGCTTTTTTCCGGCTTTTCCCCAAGCCGGAAAAAAAGCAGCGGCCATGTTTATTTAAATCCCCCGCGCATTTGCCTCTTCCAAAGTTCTACATTTGCATGCCTATTTCGTAATAGGCGGCCAGGTCTACACTACGGGACAAAGTTGAATTAAGACATGCAGCTTCAGCTACATTAATTGCGTAGCTGAAGTCGGAATAGCTTAACTTGGCTTTTGGTGTTGTCTACTCTGCAGGAAGTCAAAGGAAGAACACTCTTCCTTCAACTTCCCTTACTCCTCATGAAATCAGGGTTACCGGCATCAACTTGAGTGCCCCTCTCACTTAACTAGACCACTAATTGGAACCCTGAAAGACCAACAGCAGCAGCTTCGATCTTTTGTAGTGTAGATGTACCCCTTACAGAACAAATTGATATTATATGAATACAGTTTTCTTAAACCTAACTCATACATATAAGAAATCAGATTATTTCCACGAATGTAGGTAAGATTGGGTTTTTCATTCTGTACATATATCTCTAGCACTTTGCACGGATCTTTCATTCTTTTGTTTATTCGTTCATTCTTGCAATGGGGATTATATTCTTCCATTGTTTTTGCTGATATAGACTAACATGGCCACCCCTTTGAGATTATTCTTCTAATTGTTTAAAGTCATTACTGGCTATTTTGTGAATGTGCAAAAATCTGAAAGGTGTTGTGATTTTTTTTTATACTAATTTGTGGTTTTATAACTTTCATGATAATTAGCAATAAAGTCTTACATGTTTCTATTACATGTTTTCAACATCAGCAAAGTAGGTAATGCAAAGTTTCTCAGTTAAAATGTTCATAGTTTGTGTAATAAACGGAAACCGAGATGCAGAGATATAATGGATCTGTTGCTAAGTATGACAAAATAAAGGCATTAGAAAGCAGAGAAGTAGCTTTGTATAGTTTCTGTTCAGGCTTTTGTGTCATGCCATCTTTCCATGTATTATAAAGTCTATGTTTAGCACAGGGGTGGGCCATAATTTTTGACTGAGGGACACTTCAGAAATTTTTGAAGTGGCCCTGGGCCACCCCGGAAAGGGCGGGGCCTCAGGTGGATGGGGTTTGGCCAGGACACTTTCGTACTTCCCCACCCACAGACACTGACTGGTCTGGGAATGGGGGAGTGCACAAAGTCTTCCCCCCGCTCCCCCCCCCCCCGAGAGAACTGCCAGCTGTTCTGAACAGCTGGCGGTTCCCTCTAAGTACCCGTGCCCCTGGTGGTGGAAGGAGACTTTGCATGCTCCCTCACTGTTGCCCCCAGGTCAATCAGGGCCTGGGTAGGAGGAGCATGTAAAGTCTCTTGCTCCCTGCCCTGCATGGGAGCGCCATGCTTAGTCAACTGCTAGCTGAGCAGCAGCTGGCAGTTGACTTTAAGTGCTGAACTCCCTGCAGGGCAGGAGGAGACTTCATGCGCTCCCCCACTCCCAAGCCCTGATTGACTTGCGGGCGGGGGGAGTGTCATGGCCTCTGCAGGGCTCTGCGGGCCAGATCAACTTGCTTGGTGGGCCAGATCCAGCCTGCAGAGGCCCTTTTGCCCACCCCGACTTAGCACATAAAAATGCATAAGCCATATTACCGAACTGGAATAGACACAGTGTTGGTACATCAAAGGAACAGCAGCTGTCTTTGAGTTTTAGCTGTAGCACTTTTGAAGGCTTTAATCCCTGTTCCTAATCAAAGAGAGAACTTCCCCTTTTAAGCCTGTTTTGCTGTGTTTTCCAAGAAGAGTGCTCATTGAGTCCTGCAGCCTTGCCATGCCACTTAAATACTTTTATTTATCAAATCTAATACTATGAAAAAAGGATTGAAGAGATTAAGCTTCTTAAACGTTTGTTTTAATAATGCTAGACAAAATTGATACTGGGCACTCATGTCAGATATTTAAGAAAATTAAGCAGCTGTTAAGCTACTTTTCATTTCAGATTTATTCCACCTGTTGGAACGAGGTGTGTTAAAAAGTGTTTAATAAGGTAACCATGTGGCACAAAAACCTTGCCCGCCTGGCTCCCAGGGAGGAGATTTTGCTGCGGCAGTAAAGCTGCCTCCCTGGTAGCTGGCTGAGTTTAACCAATAAGCACCAATTTTTTGGTTAAATGGTTAGTTGGTTAAACTCAAACATCCCTAAACTAAACTATTCTATCAAAAGCAATTCTGTGTGTAGCAGGTGAGGCCCGTTGTTGACCAGGCAGAGTCATTATGCACAGATTATACATATAGGAAAATTCAATAAATTAAATATATGTAATGCAGTTTTTATTAATGAGCTTGCAAAAGGACATGAACAATTTTAAATTTGTAGCATTTCAACTTCAAATATTTTTCATTTTATTGAATAATTACCATACATAGTAAATTTGAATAAAAATCTCATAAAGCTTCCATTACTCTTTCGACAACTGTTTTGAATTATTTTGTGATTTGTAACTGTAAACATTTTCTTTGCACTAAAATGACAGTTGAACGGGGGACTCGATTTTAATTTTATTAGCAAATGTTTTTAAGAGCACTAATCATAATAGCCATGACTTTTTTCTGATGAAAAACAAAAATAATTATTTAAACCTTTCACCCAGCATATTCTAGTGTAAAAAGTAGTGCATTCAGTTAATTTAAATAGTAGGATTGTTTATGCAAAATTTGGTATCTATAGTTAATCCCAAAATATGACTTTATTTTGCACAAACAAATCCATAAACAAACTCTTCAAAATATATAATAGATTTATAAAGGTTCTGCTAATAATGTACCTGAACTTGGTGAATGTTACAGATTTTAGAGTGTGCTGGGTGGGTGTCTCCAAATGGCTGAGGGGTGTGGGCTCTGGAGTGGGGTCAGGAATGATAATTTAGGGGTGCGGGAGAAGGATCAGGACTAGGGTAGGAGGTTGGGGTGCAGAAAGAAGCTCTGGACTGAGGCAGAGAATTGGTTTGACCAGAGCTCAGTCAGGTTCTGGGTTAAACAGATCCTCATAGCTAGTCATCCCAGGAGGAAAAGAGGTAGTACAGGTCACTACAACTACAACTTGTGGTACAAGTCACAATCACTTGTGGAAGGAGTGAGGTATCTTTTCTTAAGTTCCTTAATAAAAAAAAAAGGAGGATAAGAATGTTTATATATACCAAACATTTTTATAGAAATCTAAAAAAATATGTTGAGCTGTGATGAGATTTTAGGGGAAAACTCAATACCGTACAGCTTTATTTTAAAATTATTTTGGGGTTTTTTTTCCTGTCAAATTTTAACATTACAAAATGTACTTTGATACAGTTTGCTATTGGGTGCTGTATGTTGATTTGCAGGGCAGTGATACACTATCATTTCAATCTTACTTCAACAGTTGCGTACAGTCACCACAGTTATAAAATTGCTTGTGTGCGTGCACACTTGTCTCCTTGTGTAAGTAGTGCCTATCCTCACCAGTTTATCACTCGTTGCTCGAAGATATTTGTCTCCTTACAATTGCGTACTAGTTCATCTAAGTGATGTCACTAATAATGTTGTTTTCTTTCTTGCAGATTATTGAATCACTTGGGATTATTATTTATAAAGCGCTGGACTATGGCTTGAACGAGAATGAAGAGCGAGAACTAAGTCCTCCTTTGGAGCAGCTTATTGATCACATGACCAATACTGTGGAGGTAGATGGCAGTAAAGATGAAGGCTATGAGGCTCTGGATGAAGGCGTGGAGGAAGATGAAGATAAAAAAGAGGAAGTTGAGGTCATTCACTCCTATAAAGATGTCATGAAAGTACGTACAGAAATGGCCAATTTACATTGTTGTTAAAAATTGTTTTCCTCATGAAGGTCGTGTCTTCACTACAAAGTTTTGTCAAGCTGAATTTTATGTTGGCATACAATCACCATAATTATAAAATTGCTTGTCTCTCTGTGTGGGCAGTGCCTATCCTCACCAGCAGTACTTGTTTCAATTGTATTGTCAGTAGGGATGTGAACAGGTAACCGGTTACCTGCTAAGCATCACCCTTACCAGGTGATGTTTACTGGTGCCCCGGAGCAGTCCCACCAGATCCACTTCGCTGTGGGGGCTGTGGCCAAGCAGTAGGGTTACCAGATGGCTTCAAAAAAAATACTGGACACACTTTATCTCAGATGGGGGACTGGCCGGGAGGAAGTTGGGGGGAGCAGAGCTGGCCAGAGGAAATGGGGGGGAGGAGAACCAGCCAGTGAGGAGGAAGGCTGGCCGGGAGGAGGTCAGAGGGAGCGGAGCTGGCCGGGGTGGGGGAACGGCGGG